CTTGTAATACAAACTTTTAGTTAGTTTTGATAGTTTTTAAAATTGTGTGTATAAATCATATTTTTCTAAAAAGGTGAAATATATTTCCCAAATTTTATGGCCAAACACATGGTGAAATTTCACCCAAATTTTCACTCAAATAATATTTGCCAAGAATATTTGGAAATCTATGGTCAAAACGCTAGCTTAATCAATTCGAGACTCTAACTACTCTAATACCCAAACCCCACCTTTCACGCCCAGAAGGCCAGAACCAAGTAGGGTGTGGACCGATGGATCAAACGGGGATAGATTTGCCTGTATAATATCAACCTCAAAAGTTAATTCACGAGGAAAGAATTGTCCTTTTTTTTGTCTCTTTAATAATGGAAAGATATAATTGGTTAAGTCATAATACCTAAACCTACCATTTAACTTAGCTTCAATCGATATCTATACCCTTCAAGTTTAAATGTCTACGAGTAGATATTTAAACTTGTATAGAATTAAGCAAATAGCCACATACGTCATGCGTGGCTTCCTATATGGAAACTCAGATGATACATGTATGCATACTTATTCAACTTTATATAAGTATAAATATCTATTCGTGTAAAAAAAATTTTAAAAAAAAGTTAATTTCCTTGTTTAATAGTACGAAAGTAGTTCTACTATTAAGATGTCATACTACAGTAATGCAGAGTGAAGAGGGGTAGTCTAGGACAAAAAGAAAAGAGTTGTACAGTATCTGACCTTATGTGAAACAGAAATAGGAAGAGTTGTGTGGGTATTGCTGGTTGTTAGCTTGTAAGGCATCTTCTATTGTCTGGATGGATGGTGCCTTTACAATCATTCTCACACCTTTTAATTACTTCCAGCTTAATTGCTACCTTTCACACTCTTTAACATCAAAGAGAGGGGACAATTTCTTTTCTTAATTAATCCGTTATGTTTTCTCACTGAAACAAAAATGATTATTAGCGGTATTTTATTCTTAATTGTCGATGAATATGTATTTTTAGCGCCAGCTATCACTCTTTATATATGTCACTGAAGCCTTTAGCGACATTGGTTCTAATGACACTTAATTAATACCGATAAAGACGTTAACACTCTTTATTAGTGTCAATATTTAATGCCGCTAAAAGTTATTTTTGTTGAAGTGTCTGTACTAACAATACTTTGTTTGTTTCGTTTTAATTTGTTTGATCTATTTGTCTCTTTAGTCTATTTTATAAAGAATGTCTTTTTCTTTATAACTATACAATTCTTTAATTTTAATTTTTTTTTGAAACATGAAATATTTAAGACTAAGATTAAAAAAACAATTCGATATATTTGACAAATATTTAATACAAAACTAAAAGATTCAAAAAGTTTCTTCTACTTTTTGAAGTTAATTGTAAAATCAAAATATGATAAAAACAAATTAAAACATAAGAAGGGGACTATAACTATTTTTCACATGTCAAGTTAATGTTACTATACAATTTGACCAGAGACTCTTAATGTCAAACTTGTTATAGTAATCTGAAAATTGTATAATGCAATAGTAGATATAAACTTGTGATTTTAAAAGAAAAGAGTTCAATTTCTTAAAAAAAAAAATACTATCAAAGTGATTATTAAGCTTAAATTATAGATTCGACATTTATTTATTATTGTAGATAAGGAAATTATGAAATCATGAAAAAGCAAAATAATTAGGTGACTATCAATGTCATTAATAATTGGGAAGTGGGAATTAAGGAGGGTATGTGTTTCATAAAGTCAAAATTAGGAAATATTGATTTTATGTGTATTAGGATGAGATTTTGCTCCCAAATTGGATGCCGACTTATTAGATTATCTTCCAAAAAGAATGGCAATATTTTGGAGTGTCAAATCATGGTATAGTAATTTTAATCTTACAAGATTTTCTACAAAGGGACCACTCTCTTGTACCTTATGCTTTCAACCCATGTGCTTCTTTTTTTTCTACAATATTATGAATATAAAAAAAAAAAAAAAAAATGTTGTGTGACAACCAATCACAATATACAAATATTCATCTTAGCTAAAGTTTTAAAATTACAACCCATGCATTGAATATGCCAACTGTTACCAGTTCACATAAACTCCAAGTTACACCACATATACTTTTTGGATTCATTCAACTATAGGAAAAATATGAAGTGTCTACTAGAAAAAAAGGGTTTGTTACGATGTTAAGTAAATGTGAATAATTTTAGAGGACCGTCTATTGCTTTATAGCCTTTAAGTTAATGTAGAAATACTAAAAAGACATTGATGATGACCCTCATGTATGATGTGAATGTGATTGTAATGTTGAATTATCTTAGAGAAAATATCTAATTTTCTTTTCTAGACATCTTTTTAATAAGCTAAGTTACTACTTGCTAAACTTTCTTTCGATGGATTGAGTAACCTAATATACACTTTTCCTTGGACCTCTTTCATGTCATTTTATCTGAATATAAATATGGAAAAATTGTATATAATAGCAAACTAATAACCTAAATTAAATGGAATAGCTAGGGTTTGATTTAATTGTGCTCCATAACAAACGTTAGCTAAAATTTGCCAGTGTCTCTCTCCCAAAAATCTCGCTCGCCTCTCTCCATTCTCGCTCGCCTCTCTCGCTTTATACACAGAAGTGTATAATTCTGTTTCTGTTTTGTATAAAGCGAGAGAAAATTGTATATACACATGCAAAAATGTATTATCTTCGTGTTATACACTTAATTATACAATTTACAAACATTTTACTTCAAATATTACAGAGAAAAAGGCCAACGAATTATACAATTGCTGTGAAATACAATTTTCTCTAGCTTTATACAACAGAAGTGTATATATTGTGTTTCTGTTTTTGTATAAAGCGAGAAAAACATATATCTTCTTGCTATACACTTATAATTATGCAATATACATATATTTTAATTCCGATTCAACTGTATGCAAAACAAATTATACAATTGCAACGAAATAGGCCAGCGAATTATACAATTTAGGCCAACGAATTATACAATTGTATATGTATAACAAATTATACAGTTTTATGTTTGCTATGGAGCGCAATTATGCAAAGTTTACTATAGCATACAAATATGATTTTTTTGTTTGCTATATGTGAAAGTTGCCCTATAAATATTGCATGCATGTAGATTTGAGTTATATTACATAAAGAATGAATGTTAAACTTTTTTGTACTATCAAGTTTAATTGATCCATTTTCATTATATCAATTTTTCTTTGAGAAGTTACATGTTTTTATCAATATAAAGTACAGTTAAACTTCTCTATAACAATCATTATAACTTACCTTCAGGCTCCGGTAATAATAAACTATGCAATTTTTTTATGGTAAATAATGTTATTATAAAGTGATACTACTCTCTCCATTCTAATTTATGTTGCATCTTTCAGATTTTCAGATTCAAAAAAATCTATTTTTGACCATAAAATTTCATATATATATGTATATTATACATATTTTAAAAGAATAAGACATTCTATATTCAAATTCACGATTAAAATTAAACTATTCGCCTTACACATTCATCTATGGTACATAAATTTGTAGAAGAAGTATGAAAATCAATAAGCTATATATTGGGGAGGGGGTCAATTTATAGAATATGTGATGAACTACTTTACTTGTACTAGTACACATATTTTTGCTGTCAAACTAATGATTCAGTAAGCCCGTTAAAAGAGGGCCCATAAAAGAAAATGAACGGTCCAGATTAGTAGTTAGTGGGCCATAGCCCAGTACGTAGGGTCATTAAAACCCAGCAGGGATCTTTAAAGTGGGAGCAGAGTGCGGTCTCTTTGTATATAAAGGGGAAGAATGATACACCTGCTTGTCAGTGATACCTATTGTACAAACGAGTTTTAGCCCTAATGGGCCCTCACCACCTGACCCAACATCTAAAACTGATAAGGTATGGGCCCCCACTAACTCCAATTACTCAATCCCATCTCTCGTTATACTATTTTATTCGTATTATTTTCTTCCGATTCAATTTGTTTGTCTTATTTTTACAATAACATGAATTTTGTGATTAAAAATATATATATATATACCAAATAAACCTTCAATTTTGGGATCTTAAATATGTAGCGTAGAAAGTTGAAATTAAAGAGTTATTTCATTAAAAGAAAATATCTATTAGGAAACTGAATAAAAAAGAAAGTAAGACGTACAAATAAAAACGTAACCGGTCTTTGTTTAACTATAAGGTCTGGTTATAACTTATAAGTGAATGTTAACAGCCTTTATTTCCCATTTATTTTGTACTTATGAAAGAAAATCCTCATCAATAATATGGTTAACATAGCAATCATGATCAGAACACAAATTCTTTTTTATAGGGCTAGTATAACTGTTCCATTTCCTACATTATATATATATAATAGGGTGCTATGTCTTGTTGTTTGAGTGAAATCTTCAGGTTTTACTGTAGAGAAAGGAAAAGAGTGGGTATAGGGGCTAGGGCAGTAGTTATACATGATTTTAAAAAATTGAATTCTCGATCTAACTTGATCACAAAAATTAACTTGTGAGGTAAAGAATGAGCAAGATCGAGTCATCTAAAGCAACAGCCGCTGTGGGACAACTTTGACACCCATACACTCTTAGATTTACCAATTTAAGTGTGAACCAACGTAACATGGGGGCAAAACATAACCAGGATTGGAATTAATGAATATATCTAATTCTAATCTTAGCTCAATCTCAAAAACTATTTCATAAGACAAATATTGTCCAACACACGGCCAAATGTTCAGACATTTACACAATAAATAAAGTGGAAAAAAAAACTTACTTTGCAAGTCAGTAAAAATTATTCTTTAGGATATACACCCATGCACAGCCAATACATATATAGTAACTTTTTGACATGTACCTCGCTCTAGGTGAAACGAATAAAAGGGGTAAAAACAATAATGAAGATGATCAATAACAATCTCTACCGTTACCAACCAAATATAATATAGTAATAGTACTCCCTTTGTAATAAAATAAAAAATATATTTCCCTCTTCAAACCCTAAAAAAACCGGCAGGCAAATATTAATCACACAAAAAAAGAAGAGGTGAAAATAATAATAATAGAAGCAAATTCAAAATTATAGAGCAAGCATATAATCAAACCTCACGTATTGTGTGTTTAATTAACCATCCCAAACTTTTTAATTTATCACACAAAAACTCAACTTCTTTTTAGGAATTATGATGGCTTGTTGAATCATGACGATCATCACCACCTCCACCACCACCGTGATGTGAATGTGATCCACTAGCCTGAGATTCCGATACACCGGAACATGGTCTATACGGATTTAATCCGGTGACCATGCCTAATTGGCCTTCTCCGGCTAGTGTACTGCCATTACTACCAGCGCCAAATTGCTGAGTTGGCAATAGTGCTACAGGAGTAGGAAAATTCATGAAATGTAATCCACTTGACATTGTACTTCTATACAAAGCAGCAGCTGCAGCACCAGAGTTGTTAACCGATGGAAACGTCCACACTGGATCGCCTCCCAATACTTGGGTATTATTATTCGTCAACATCCAAAAGTTAGCTGGAATTGAAGAATGACTAGTTGGCATAGTCCCACTACTTGATGATTGTAACAAATAACTTCCCATTTGTTGCTCGTTTTGCTGCTGCTGATTTTGTTGTTGTTCTTGTTGTAAATCGAGGTCTTGTCGCCTTTTTCGCGATAGACTCTCTTCTATACTTGTTTCTGTTAAATCTAACGAATTGTCTCGCATTTCTTGTTTAGCTTGGAATTGATGGAGGTTCGAATTACCCGTCTGAAAATTCAGCAACGTTGTAGTTGCAGATCTGTCTGATGATAAACCGATACCCTGAAACAAACTGCGCCTTTGGGACAGTGAAAAATTCGGATTGAAATACGAAGATCGAAGTTGAGATGGTACGGACATGCTGGATCCTGAACTACGTAATGAAATGTTGAGTGACGTGAAATTCGCCGGAATTGTACCTGTAAGATTTGAACCATAGTAACAAATGATAATTAAGCAAATTGTGAAAAATAGGAAAACTTTAGAATTATTCTGAGTTTGATTGGTTTCTCAACTAATAGTTATTACTATTTCAGACAATAAGTTGGAATGAGGAAAATAATGACTTTCTGAGATAATAACTATTAGTTTTGAATGACTTTTTCAGCATTACCTGTTCCCGTAGCAGCTATAACTGCAGGTTCAGCTTGTTGAAGAAGCCATTCGATGGTTTCACCATCGGATTTGTGACCGAGTTCTCGAGTGAGCTGAAAAACCCTAGCAGCACAAAGGGCCGGCATACGTATACGTCTGCCACGGCCATCAACCTTAGTGTGGCGGTCTTTAGTGGAAGTTCTCTTGGGAGCTGGCTTTTTAGCAGTCTCAGTAGAGGCAACTGTAATTTGAAGGTCGTTACTATTAGGGTTTATATTCGTATTTGTATCGGATGGGGAAATGGCTAGCGAAGGATAATTAATATTATTAGCTGCGGAGGAGCTGGAGCAAGGTTCGTCTTCTTTTTTTTCGAGTAATTGGAAAGGGAAGTTGTTAGGACGATATTGCTGGTGATGTTGGTGGTGCTGGTGATTGTGATGGTGATGGTGGAGATGATCGTCACCTCCTCCTCCTTCCATGATCACTCTTAATAACTAAATTTTCACAAAAAAAAACAAACTTTTTCTATGAGAAATTGAGTTGACTAACCTAAATTTCTAAAAAAAATAGTCTAGGTAGAATGAATGTAATGAATCAATAACTATAGTGTGTTTCTTTTTGTTTTGCTAACTTAGTGTGTGTGTGTGTTTGATTGGGAATTGCTTGGGCATTGATGTGTTTGTTTGGGTTAATGGGGGGAGAGAGAGATGTGTGAAGAGGAAAACTTAAAGCAACAAAGATAATGAGTGGGAATTATAAGGGGTAAGCTTTAAAAAGCAAAAAAAAAGAAAAGAAATTGAAACAAAGGGGAAAAGAAAATATTTGCTTTTGTTGGGGGTCCTTTTTTAATGTCTTTTTGACAAATATTAGTTGGAATATGATTTAAATGAAATAAAATTGTTGAAGGAAGGGGTGTTTGTCGTGCAATTCTTTTTATTGTGGCTATGACAGAGCCTTTGGTTCAGACTCCACGTGAGGTGCTCTTTTTATCATTCAATCCATAAAGACAATGGTGGCCATAGTGGGTCATACTATATATAATTTCTAAGTCAAAAAATTGAGAGACTGAGATAGGAAAGATTTATCAAATGGTGAGTAGGTCCCCTTTTTCATTCATGTAATCATTTCCCCCTTTGCCTTTACCCCCTTTGCCTTTGTTGCCCAACTTTGCTTGCTTTGGGATTCCTTCCTCATATCTTATGATTGTGCTCTAATCTCATCACTAATATATAGTATTTTCTCCGTCTCAATTCATGTATCTTACTTTTCTTTTTACTCTGTATATATTAACGTCATTAAAGTTGTCAAGTTAAGTTCAAAAGTCTTTCATTATTTCTAAAATTTTGTGTTTAGTCAAATAAAGACGCTTAAATTAGAACAGATGAGTAAGTTTTATTTGTTTCATTCTCCAATATTGATAGCTAGGATCCGTTGAATTTTCTATCTTAGGTTTAGTCTAATAGGTGGGCCAAAAATAGCTAGGGGGGGGGGGGGTCAAATGACAATTGTATATTATTTTATGAGATGAAGTATGTAGTAGTAACTAGTAATAGACAATCAAGGTCCACCATATTGTACTATCATGTGGAAAAATGGTGAATTTGATGATGATATTTACTATAGGCTACCCCCTTCTCTTGATGTGTACTTATATATATAGCTACCCTTAACCTCCTCCTTTTATAAGTTGGATGTGTGGATAAAGATGTTCCACATTGAAAGTTGGTGAATTAATAAACGTTGTATACATAAAAATGTATATAGAGAGACATTGTCATTATTAATGTTATGAGGCCCTTTTGGAAAAATCATGTGGTTTAATTTAAAATAAATAATACCACACTATGTTTAAGACTTAATTGATAAAACTTAAAAGGAATGGTGTGATATTATCTATTTTTGAATTGGTCAATATTACATCATTTTAATTGTCGTTATAATAACCCAAAAATCGTGTAGGTTTGGCCCTAAACATACAGTAGTACGTAATATTAAGAGTTGGTACCTATTAAGCTAATTTAATTAGCCTAACTAGAAGTCATTCAGATCTAATTCTGGCTAGATGTGTTATCTTTAAGTAATACAGGGATAAAATATGAACTACTTAAATCAATGAACAAGAAGCTCTTTTATTAATTTGCCAAATATATTTAATTTAGAAAAGGAATGATAACTAAAGGTGGGTGTATCTTGGTCATTTGAATGGAAGTTACTTTAGCATTGTCACCCTAGTTCATGTATATACTCTAATTATTATTTTTTTGTTATATCAAACGTATATATAATGCTTCCGCTATCTACCTTTACTTATTCATATTTGACTTAACACATTTATTAATAAATTATAATAAGAGGGTCATCTTGTTATATCGTCATTTCTATCATCTAAATATTTAAAAGTAAATAATATTTAACTGTAACGAACGACCGTATACATTTAAAAAAGGACTAAATAGAGTAGTAGTATATTATATTTTCGTGTACACACCTTTTGGGGTGAGCATAAGATAAGAAATGGCATGACTGCAAGACTGGCAGCTATAGGATTTAAAAGTAGTTATTTAAGTATGTGCCCAGGTAACGCCCTTTACATCAACATCTTCTGTCACAAATATTATACTCCTTTCATTTTGATTTAAATGTTTTGGTTTGACTCAATACGACGTATGTGTTATTCTTTAAATTTTATGATTTTAAATTTTATCCAATAGAATATTAAATATTGTAATTGAATTTTTTTTCAGAGGAGGTATAAGTATCTCTCTAGACTATAATCGAAATATCAGATACACATCTTAACTAAAATAAAGTTTTCTTATCCTTCTGAACTTGTTTTTTTATAATTTTATATATCTTTTATTTTACGTGATACACTTCATAACTTCACGCAATTAAAATGCATACGAGATATTTGAATATCACGTAAATTAAAAAAATACATAAAATTAAAAAAATAAGAACTCAAAAAATATGAAATCTTAATTTAATTAAAATATATCACTGAAATTTTAATCGTAATATAGAGATACTCTTTCCCTTTCTTTTTATAAAACATAATTAAAAAATGCTTAGATTGACACACAAAGTAAAATATATCTACTGACATTCTGTCACTTCTTACCTATAATCATGAAGGAACTAAAAAGAATAAAATAAAAAATAAGCCCCATATTTGTCATGGCATCGCAATGGGCACGAGGAAAAAGAAGTGAATTTATATTAATATCAAAATCTACCGAAAATGTTTATCAAATGACAAATAAATATTGGCATACTATAGCGTTGATTGATACAGACTGGATGCTATTATTTAAGATTCTTCTTTTCTTTGCTTTCTGTTTTACTGCTGTTTTTTTTTTTTCCTTCTTTTTATATTTAATTTTTTTATATCATTGATATATATGAATTATTTTTCCAATTAAGATACAAGATAAATTGAGTAATTGTTATTTAAATTTATTTTCTTTTAGGAGGGAAAAAGTTCATGATCAAATAATAAAAATGCCTCAAGCAGCTATTCTTGTTAATCTATAGGAAGCACTCCGATCTAATCCATATTAAGAGAATTATTAAAATTATTTTAAAAGGTTAATTTTTCAAAGTTCAAGAGAATATTGAGACTTTTTGTCATATTTATCCTTTTATTTATGAGGTTAGTAATTACTTTGCATTTTATAGAACATAGTTTAGGAATAATCAAAAAGATAATAACACTATTCAAAAATGATTTTTAGTTGCAATTCGATCCAATGACAATTAATTAATGTTTTTTTTAGTATTCTGTATATTTATTCTCGATAAAAGGTGTTTTTATTATAGAGTAGTAGAAAGTAGCCTTCAATTTTTATCGTTAAATTTTTTTTAAAGGAATATGTAATACCCCAATAATTACCTTAATATGGACTAATGGGGAGTATTTCTTTGCCCTGTATTTATGAAACACCATTCTAAGTTAATTCTGAAATCACCATCAATGGGACTTCATGCAATTATATATATACTAAATATAGACTATAGTTTAATAGGGTCGTAATTGGTGCCTTGTCAAACGACAGTTATGATTTTATCTTCAAACCTAAAATAAATTCATGATAATTAATACTTTCGAGTCTTCAAGAGACTAATAAATTATTATGCTAACGCCTAGTCACCCTATCCATTGATTGAAAAGATTATCATCAAGAAGTCCTAATTACAAATTAAATCTACTGTGTACTTTATTTATGCAAAGTCTGAAATAAATTCGATAAATTGATTCATGGAAATACTTTGAAGAGTCTAGGTGCAAAGAAAATTTGTACTACAAATTTAATATGAACATTTCATGAAAAAGTCAAAGTCACAAGTCAAAATTTGACTCTGGTAAACCTTTCAATTAATAGCGAGCCAATACTGATTATTGGTAATATTAAGGAGTCAAAGCTTTGACTAAAATTATACTCCTTATCAAATTAAAAATGCTCATAGTCAAACAATATACGCTAAAATGACTCATTCTTGACCAAATATCTCCATCGAAATTTTGTATGTTTGTCTACACACATTTTTAATTTCTATTATAAGATTTAAAATGTTTTTCAAAAAATTTTGAAAATTTTTAAATATTGTGCGTAGCAAAATATGACATATAGATAAAATGAAAAGAAGGAAATACTTCATTAGAAAGATACTAACCTGGATAGAAAGACTTTTTATTAGTTTTTACAAACCCTTGTTGATCAGGTTCATTTTATTTTATCATTATCATCTTCTCTCTTTATTTTATTGTCATGATTGTGAAAATCCAACGTATAATTTTTTTTAAAAAAATAAAAACTATGTACTAGTAAATTCCTAAAGCAAATTTTAGAGTAATAGGTATGTTCATCTGATCTTTCATCAATGTTATTCTTTACTTTCCATTACCTACCAGAGTAGTGTCACACATGGGATTATTGGCTGATTGGATTTTTTCTAATCTGTAGCTAAATGGGAGATGTCATTTTATTGTTAGATATAAAATTTTATCTGTTACTAATTTCTTATTTTCTCACGGTGTATTCTAACCGATAACATATATCTTAGAGAGCACATGGAAGGGTGCGTTTGCATGCAACAACATTACAACATGCAAATTTAATTAGGTATGTAATATATTATTATAAGGTTAAGGGAGTGAATATGTAAATTTAAAGGTCCACAAAATATAATGCATAGAGAGCGAGAGAGACAGGTAGCTGTAGTTAGAACCATGTCACCACGTGATGAGAATGTGGACCTGTTTGGCAGTGTTGCCCTTTTTCAGACCACAAACCATTTTTGCTTTTCTCAATTATCTATATGATCTACTGTCACCATAATTTAACTACTATTTCTACCTTTTATTTTTCTTCCTACAACTCATACACAATGCATGCTGCTACCTACATTTGTTCATCATTCATTGCTGTAATAATTAATTTCCTTGATCACAATAACCTATGTTAATTTCCTTGATCGCGATACCAATGTATGGTTTTGCTATTAGCCTGATCCAACATTTG